AGAGAAGCAGACTCTGGTCGACACAGTCAGAGGGGTCTGCTTCCTGCTGGCTCACAGCACACGTCTGCATGTTTAGTACACTGGCTGACTGAGGCGAAAGAACGCCGATTCCTCAGACAAGAGTTACATAATAAAAACATTCACCTTGCTTTTGTCTAAACACACTATAAAAAAGTGGCTCAGAAGAGGAAGGAAACAGATGAAGGAGAGGGGCTCCCTGATTGGGCTTTCCCTAGACCATCCATCCATCCTAGACCCTCCTCAGGAATAACAACGATGCGTCACAGTTAGACTGCTAGCATCCTACAGAGTTCAGGTCATCCACAGTGTGTAGCGTAGTGAGTGTGTGCAGAGTGAGTGAAGTTTGGGCTGAGATCAGTAAAAACAGACGGAGCCCAAGGACAAATGCATTTGGCCAAATGGCTTTAATTTTTGTAACTCGTGCCATCACTACTGTGTGTGTGTGTTTCGTAGCAATAACCTCACTTGAATTTGAACCTAATCTTTTATCTCCATGTCATTTTAAATTAATGCTAATCTCTCATTTCCTTCTGCCTCCACGGCAAAAGATAAAATGGTCTCAGTGTGTTTCCTGGTTGCTTTCCTCTCTGTCTAATCAAACAGGTCTGAATTAACCCTCATACAGATTCAATCTGACTTTGCAGTTTAGACCTCTGTCCGAGCAGGTCACAGGGGGAAAGTCGGGAGTGGGAGTGGGCTATATGGTGGGGTGTGAGTTCTACGGGTGATGGGAGGGAACAGAGTAGAGAAATCACTGAGATGGTTGTAGGTCCTTTAACAGCAGCCCCCTCCAGACTGCCTGACGGGGGTGCTATCGATTTTTAAGTTGGGCTTGTCCCCGCCGGCTGTGGCCCCAGGGCCCATGCGTTTCTTGATCTCGGCTGCCATGGTCATGAAAGCCTGCTCTACGTTTGTGGCATTCTTGGCACTGGTCTCCAGAAAGGGGATCACCAAAGAGTCAGCAAACTCCTGAAAAGATAAGAAGAAAATTCAAGTGCAAACAGTCAGAAATCTGCAGTCAGAATATTTCAGCCCATTAGGTGTCTGTGCGGGTTCTCGGTCATCCAGGTCCAGGTAGTCTAAGGAGTTTAGAAAGAAAGTTTCTTTAAGTTTCTTGAAGATGTTTCACCTCTCATCTGAGAAGCTTCTCCAGTTCGAAAACCAAATGTTGGAGAGTCCCAGGTGTTTAATCCCTGGTGGGAGTTGTCCCGTAAGACGGTAGTTGACCCACTCTTGATCAGGGTCACCCTTTCAAGTGAGATCACCGGATGCAAGATGTGAGAGGCAGTTGAGGCAGCACGATCTCAAAAATGCATTTAATCCCATCTTCCACTAGAGATTAAATGCCTGGGACTCGCCAACATCTGATTTAAGAACTGAAGACATTTTCTAAGCTCCTTAGACGATCCCCCGACACTACTCAGTGCAGCACTCTGATCAACTGAAGGCTTTTGAGGGAGGTTTTAAGAGAACAGGACAACAGTGATTTACAACAGTCCAACAATAACATGAACTAGTTTCATATCCATCCAGATATGCCTTCATGTTTGATATGAATAATCAGGTTCCATCAAAATGACCTCGAGAGAGAGCGAGACAGAGACAGACAGACAGACAGACAGAGACAGACAGAGAGACAGACAGACAGTTATTCATAAGCAGCCCCACCTTAGCAGTTGTGTAGTCCACTACTTTCTTAGTCGTCAAGTCACACTTGTTGCCCACCAGAAGTTTATTGACATTTTCACTGGCATATCGGTCAATTTCCTGAAGCCACTGCTTGACATTGTTATAGGACTCCTGTGCAATGAGAATGAATATGAACAAAAAGCCGTCTCTATACATGAATACAAAGTATCTTCAAAAATCAGGGCATGACAGTGTTCAAATCTTCCTCCAAACCTTGAGGAGAACATAGTTAACACTTCTTCAGATAAAAGTAGCAAGTACTGGCAAATATTTATTTATTTATTAATTAAATAGACCATAACTCCATAAAAATGCTCACTCACTTGGTCGGTCACATCATAAACAACTATGATGCCATGGGCTCCACGATAGTAACTGGAGGTGATAGTACGAAACCTCTCCTGGCCTGCAGTGTCCCACTGGAGGGACGAAGAGGAGCAAAGGGACGATATATTAATATATTACAATTCTAACAAGCATATTATGATAGAAAACCAATTGTGTTTGTGAAAAATGAAACATTCATGAAGCTGTGTATAAGTTAACCTGCACCGTCGTTGTTTTAAGTTTCTGTAGTCTGATTTCTGACAAAGGTAACATTTCTATAAAGTTGCCAGCAGACTGAATATTTCTGTTTTCCAGATGACTCTAGCCTTTTAATGACTTGGTAAATTAGAAAGCTTTGAGGAAACACATCTACCTTAAGTAGACACGCCTCAGGGCAGAGTCAAGAATACACTATGCTGCCAAAAGTATTCACTCACCGATCCAAATCCCTGAACCCAGGTATTCCGATCACTTCCATAGCCACAGGTGTAAAACATCAAGCACCTAGGCATGCAAACTGCTTCTACAAATGAGTCCCTGTCAGGAGTTAAAGCCAGCGTGATATTGCTATAGGCTGCCACCTGTGCAACAAGTACAGTCACCAAATTACCTTCATACTAAATAGTCCAATAACAAAGTGGAAGCAATTGTGAAGGACAGCAACTCAGACGTGACGTGGTAGGCCATGTAGACACGTTCTGTTGGGTAACTTCTCCTGGGTTATTCTGATGGACATATCTGAGTTTGGCGGTTGCCAGGAGAAGAATACTTGTCTGACTTTCAAAGTGTAAAGCTTGTTGCAGGAGGTTTATGATGTAGGGCTGTTTTTCAGGAGTTGCCCAGTGGTTACAATGAAATCGTCCAATGTACATGTAGTATAAAAAGTTCAGCAAGGATTTGACCTGTCACTTCACGAACGATCAAAACAAACATCAGTTTGGACTTGAGGAAAAAGAGTTGTTGATTCTCACAAAGCAGGAGATGGATATGCAAAGTTATCACAGCATTTCCAAGTATCAGGAGCTGGAGTGACTAGTATCATGAAGCAGTCAGAGCAAAAACAGATTTGCATCATCGCTGTGTCTCCCAAAATGACAACGATCTAAAACATATTTCTCTAATAGTGAAAAACTACCTTCAGAAAACTAACAACAACTTTACAGACTGGCCTGCACAGAAGCCCTAACTTAAACTTAAAAATCAGCGGGGTTAACTGAGGATCGAGCTCCGATCAGAGGATTATAAAATCTGGAGGAACTTGAGCTGGGATAGCTGGGAGGGAGAGACATCGGTGTGACTCCAGGTTCACCAGTCATGGCGTCAGGTCTGCTGTGTAAATACAAATATAAACTATCGAACCCCATGTTCAGTCCAGCAAATGTAACCAAGCAAACAATCCACTTTCTAAAAGCTGACATCTCACAGATTCCAGAATTGCAAGTTTTGTCACACTCTGGCCAAATTTCCCTCAACCAGCCGCAAAAGAAGACCATAAATGTGGTGCTCTGTGTGTACATGTGCCCTCACAATCTGCAATTTGATGGTCTTGCCATCCAGCTCGATGGTGCGAATCTTAAAGTCCACTCCAATGGTGCTGATGTAGCTCTCTGTGTAGGTGTCATCCTACAGAAAGAGGAGGGACAGCATGATTCAGGCCAGCAGCAAAACCAGTTAAAAACAGTCATTCAGTCCAACAGAAGTGAAAAACATCTTACAGTGAGGAGGTACTACTTACAGCAAAACGCAGTAGAAGACAAGACTTTCCTACACCAGAGTCTCCAATGAGCAGGAGCTTGAACAGATAGTCACTGAAATACAAAGAACAAGGCTGAAAATTTCTACTGCAATAAAAAACAAAAACAGTGGGAAACATTTTATAATACGACCCGACTAAGTGCAAAATCCCCCTTTAATTAAATGGAACCATTGTTCTTTTAATTTGAAGTAGGGATGCTGAAACAAATGTGTACCAAGTCACAACAAAAACAGAAATATACCATAATATACACAATATTACCTCATCTTACAACAATCAGACCTATGTGACTTTATAACAATGGACAATGCAACTTTTTTTCCTTTTACAATTACTGTTCAAACACAACTGTCAAAAGGAGCGTGCAGATAAACGTTAGCTAAGGTTAAGCTGATACGACTCGACCCCTGAAAAGTGCCGCGTTCTTCAAATCAGCGGTGGGCGATATATCGAACAGACTCAATAAAGGTATGGCAAGTGTTTCCACAGACAATGGTTAAAATGGCTTTACTGAAACAAACCAGTATAAATTACCACGGCAACATTCACTTTTTTTCTTCCACACACTGTGAATGCATCATTTATCGCCCCCTCCCAACTGGAGAATATTCTACCCGGCACACTGCAGTGAGCATGTGTGTTTGTATCCCACCAGACACGGAATAACAGCGCCAGGAGGAGCTTCAGGGGACGGTGAACAAAATGCAGTAATTTGCAAAACATGCTGTTAAACTATTGCTGCAAAAAGGTAAAGTCGGAAAAGTCGAGCTGCAAAAGCACGAACGTTTTAAACGTCTCCCCACGCGCCAAAGAAAACGTTAAGCTGTGACAGCTGTGGCTGTTCGTGGTCAGTCATTTTCATAGCCACTATCTAGACTTTTGTTTCTGTAATTTGACGGCATCACGTTTTTTTAAATTGTAAAAATTTTATGTTCACAAAAAAGCATCTTTTTAATTTCAATGTTTTATTCTCATGAATTCTTTCTCGACTTACTTCTTTCTTGCTATGATCCTTTGTTTGTTAGAGGTCTATGATTGACCTCAGAGAGACGTGCTGTGACAGCATTGCCCTCTATGAAAAACCTCTGTGTGCAACTGATGGATAAAAAAATGGTTAAAATAAAACATTTCAGTTCACTCAGATTTTTAGTATTCAAAGTAGAAAAACTATTAAATGGTTGGTTTAAAACGAGTATGCCAGCACTATTTTAGGCACTCTATGGTTGAAACATTTGTTTTTGGAGGTTATTCAAGCATAATGTGATATATACGGTTTAACTACAGCCAGCTTTAAGGCCTGTGCTGATTAATTGAGATAGTTTGATCATACTTAAGACTGAAACGTCACTTAATAGCAGGACTTCTGTGAGCACTCCTGTAGAATCGGGATATAGAAGACAGGTTGATGCTTCGAGGAGGTAATTACTGAAGTTAACTCAGAAAGATGCATCACAGAATCATTACTAGTTAACGTTAAAGGGATGGTTGGCTCAACGGAGCTCTGACTGTGTGTCAGCCTGGCTACAGAGCTGAAGAGAAACCTGGGGTTGTTCTTATTTTCTTCAATCAGTGATGAATAGTAAGATGTTCTGGCTTTGTGGAGGGCTGTCTTATAAAGCAGCAAACTATTTCTCCAGGCTAAATGATGATCCTCTAAATTAGTGAGACATGTTTGAGAGTTCAGTCAGTCAAGCACTTCTGAAGTGAGACTTTCTTTTTCAGAAGACCTACAGTCTCCAGAGTTTTACGCAGTGGAGAAGTGAAAGAAGAAGAGGGAGGGACGTTTGTGGAAAAAACTTTGCAAATAAATAAACGCTGCAGAGTCTTTGCTTTCGATTTGCACTTCTTCCCCTCATATGTTAACACTTTTATACCAATATTGTCTGAGTGGCAACACCCATCATTCAGAAGAATACTGCAGCCACTTCCTGTGCCTAACGGCGAGTATACTGGGGCCTTTACTCCTCCCAATTTATTTGCATATAGCTGCAGCAGAAAAAACAACTCTGAGTGTAGGCCTTCAGTGTTTTGTGTGTTAGAGAAGATGAGACTTAAAGAAAGAAGAAAGAGAGGACACTTCTTTCAGATGCCGGTTGTTACTTTGCATCGTGTTTTCACATCCCAGGTGAAGGGGACCCCTTCTCAGATGACAAAACATAGCTATGACCCTTAATATCGAGACTCTGAAGGTGCAAACATGAAATTAAATTTGCCTCCACAGCCTGTGATGCCTACGAGTTCTCCCTCCTCTACCTTTGGCGTACTGCCACAAACTTAATGGATTAATTCTAAGTCTATGAAAATGTAATTACACACTAATGGATGTATATTTACAAAAAAGTACAAACCTCACATTTTTGTAAATATTTTATTATATCTTTTCATGGGACAACACTGAAGCTATGACACTTTGATGCAATGTGAAGCAGTCAGTGTACAGCTTGTATAACAGTGTAAATTTACCTCTGCTGAAAATTACTCAACACACAGCAATTAATATCTAAACCTGGCAACAAAAGTGAGAACACCTTCAAGTGCAAATGTCCAAATTGTGCCCAGTTAGCTATTTATTCCTACTCAGCATCATGTTACGAGGTCTCAGGTGAGAAGCTGGCGTTATTGCTCCCCCACTGTCTCATACTGGAAGTTCAACATAGCACCTCATGGAAAGAAGAACTGTCTGATAAAAAGAATTGCTGCTCTACATAAAGTTGCCCTGGTTATAAGAAGACTGACAGCACCCTAAAACTGAGGTGCAGGTCCAAGAACACACAGCGGTTCAACAGGACTCACTGTGGAGGCAGATTATGAGTGTACGATTAATCAGTCATAATCCCTTGTACATTCCTTAAACATATAAATATTTATATCGTTCGTACGTAGGTAGGTAGGTAGATAGATAGATAGGTAGATAGATAGATAGATAGATAGATAGATAGATAGATAGATACACATTCAGGGTAATTAATGTAACAAATTTCATGGTGTGACATTCAAGAATTTCGAACTAAAGTGTGGAAACTATGTTTTTGTTTAGCAACAGCCTACACAAACAACACAAATGAGCTGCCTTTGCATATATCTAAAAAGTATTGCTATGGAAATAGTAAAGTTTAAGTGCAAGTGGGACTAAAAACGTATTTTTGTCGAGTGTTCCATACTGTGGCCGTCTCCATGGAGAAAGGGGAAACAGTGGGCGGAGCCTGTTCGCCCAGGCTACAGGTCAGCCATAACACGCCAGTACAGCCCAATCACCAGCTGGTAACGTTACACGTTTTGGCTCTAGTATCTGAAACGAACAATAACCGCGTTTCTCTCTACACTGCACTGTTTTGTTGGGGGTCGTAGTTAAAGGTCCGCGGTCACGGGGGAAACGGGAGACACGCGGTCACGGGGGGAAACGGGAGACACGAGCAAGCAAAGTGTTTGTTGATGTGTGGAGAAACCGCACTGGGAAAGCTGACACGTTAAAGAAGCTGTTCGCACCCTGTTTACAGAAGCCGAGCGGCTGTTCTCCATTAGCACAACCAGCCTGGTGTGATGTAGCAGAAAACTAGCCAAACACAATGATACTTCCTGGAAGAAGACAATAACAACAGCCGTGCAGCTGATTGTGTTTAACGTGAAACTCACTATTCGGGATTCATGCTTGCAGTCTGGATGTTTGTCTGTCGGCGACTCGTCTCTTCCTACTCAGGAAAAAAAGATGACTTGTATGTCCGGATATCAGAGGCACATCGACGGTTGTTTACGGTCCCCGTCACTGCTCTGACTCCTCCGCTGTAGTCGGCTTCTATCGGCTCTTATAGCTTTAATCCTTACGGACATAAAATCGCTTCCTCCGGTTAGGTTAGTGTATTTTCTCTCTTTCTGCCTTTCTGTGACCGTTCTTTGCCAAATGTATACGACGACTGCGCAGGTGCGGTAGTGACGAAAGGTGACGTGTAATTACGAAGCGTAAACCTTTTTTTTAAATACAGAAATGGTGGCTCGTGGAGCTTGCCAGTAGCTCCCGGTGTTTCACGTTAAATGACTTTTACACCGGATTAGACTTTTTACATATTCTCCGTGTTCCACGTGCTGCATCCGCCGATTGGACGGTTTCACTGTGTGTCACGCGGATGACAACCAGCTGTTTAACACCTGCTGCTTGTTTAGGAATCACGCCCACGCTAACCTGTGCTGGTCAGGTTAACGTGGACATCTGTGTGGTCAACATAACGTCATCGCAGCCAGTGTGCCTTGCTTTGTTAGCGCAGAGCTGCTGGAGCTTGCGTTTACTCTGTGTGACTTTTCTGATCTCAAATTAAAAAACGTGATTTAAATTTAAAGGCATCATACAGTTTATTGGCGAACCTGTGTGTGAGCAGGCTTCTTGGTTTCGAAATAAATATATTTAATGACGCACATCGATTAGATTAGCGCCCGTTTACCTCATAGTTCTGCCACCGATCTCCTCAAATAATAAATTATATTCAGGAAACTCGTCATAGGCACAGGTAATCGATGGTTATTGTGAAAACTAATCATCTTTAAATAATCAATCCCAGGTGTTAGGGGGAATATGCAAACATTGCCAGTGTTGATTGAGTTTATTTGTAATGTGTTGATTCTATGAGTTCGAAGAATGAGAGTTGTTTTAGCAATTCAGAAATAAACTGGTGAGTCCACTACAAACCATCTCAGCAAATAAAAATGCATGTTTTTCTTTAGCTTCCTTTTCAGATAAGGATCAGCTCTAAACAGACACGTGTCTCATGGTGTTGCAGCTCAGCTGATGCCACAGCCGGAGGGAAAATGAGACTGAAAACATATGACCAGTTTAAATTACAACACCAGTTATTATGTGGGGCTAAATGAGGAATTGTATAAGTTATAAAAATTATGTATGATACCACACTAATCACACAGCATGAGTGACATCAGACAGATGTGAGACCTCAGAGCTCCCTTATTGAAATTACACATAAGCTTCATTTTCTTGTCACTGTGTGCTCTGAGATATTTATAGTCCTTCACTATTTTCACATCGACCCCCTGCATTGAAACTGGGGTCACTGGTTTCCTGGTTCTCCTAAAGTCCACAATCATTTCCTTGATCTTTGTCACACTGATCTCCAGATGTTTCTGTTCACACCGCATGACAAAGGAGTCCACCACAGCCCAGTACTCCGTCTCATCACCCTCACTGATGCATCACACCAACGAGAGTGAAGTTAGCAGGTGTCTGTGCAGTCTCCATATTCCCTCTGACTCTGCAGTATCGCTGTTAGCTCCTTTGTTTTGTTTGCTAGCAACCCAACGTTCCTCATTACAATAGACGGGAAGCAGTACAGCCCCATACTTCTATTTTGTAGAAGTGTTTATCAAATAAAAGGGCTGGTGAGTCTCGATCAATAAAGCAGCATTGACATGCAACAACATACTGTCCTACTCATGATGTCCAAAGTAATTTGTTGGTGCCGTAAATGAAGAAGAGGAAACTCGGGATCAGTGATTGAGATTTAGCTGGTATATAATACTTTATTATGGAGCCATTAAATTAAGAGTATGTCAATCAAAAATAAAACAGAATGTGATTTGCTGTGGAAAGAAAGGAAGGAATTACTAAAAACAAATCCTAATTTTAAAAAATATTCCAAAATAAAATTCTTTGATTGTGTGGAGTCATTTCTGACTGACTTGGCTGCGTCAACCGACAATAAACATCCTAGAGAGGGTGGTTTTAAGAAGCAAGAGTTGGATACCATTAGTGGATATTTAATGATGATACAGAAGTTCCTAATCCCAAAATAGATAAAGATTACATGACTGATGTGTTTAAAGTAGTGCTGTCAAAAATAACGGGTTAACGCAAATTAATCCGTTAACACGATTAAAAATGTTTAATGCAATTAACGCATCTGGAGTGCAGAATGACTCAAAATCACTGAAATGTTTCTGTCAACGCATTTCGGGCAGTTTGTCCAAGTAGAGTTACCTTCGCACATGTGCAAATGGGCAGTTGATCTGGTAGACGCATTTTAAGGGGCTAAAACTCCTCGACCCTTTGTTATGACCCGGCCTACGGGTAACCGGGACCCAACATGCAGGTGCAACTCCCCACTCCCACGACTCCCATGACAGGCCAGCAACACACTAACTAAAGGGGCTAAGCAGCAGTTTATATTCTTCAGATATGAACAATGTCAAAATAACAAACAAAAAGGTTTCTCCCGTCTTCAGAAAGTAAAAGCAAACAAGACAATTGTCTAACATAAGCTCCTACAAAAAAGAGAAAAAGGGCTTCTCACTCACTGCTGCAGTGCTCAATGTGTACACATGAATAAGACTTTACAAAAATGCTTTTAGCCCAACACAAAGATATCGTAATTACAAACAGCTCACACTGTACGAAAAGACTTTCTCACACAGATGCTCAGAACTACAAACAACTAGCTCTTTGTTGGGTGCAGAGCAGACAAGGGAGGGCGCTGTCAGCTGGAGGTTAAGAGGCTGCTGTCCATTCAATCATCCAATCCAGACTTCAAGAGCTTGTTTGAATCAGCCAATAAGCTCTCTAACCTGTTTCACCAGCAAATACACAGACACACCCCCACACCCAGCCTGGAGGGAGGAAATTCAAAGAACACACATACACCAATGGGAGGAGCCACACATCAAAACAGCCAGCGTGTGATCACAAACCACAACATTTCATTGAATCAAAACACCTCCATCTCATTTGAATGTATGTAGTGTAATGTACAGATACCCTCAAATGAAACCTGAGAGTCTACAGATTATCTCTGTTATTTAACTATAATTGGAATTTGTTTCAGTAAACAGTTAAAAAAAACAACAACTTGTGTGAGAGTCCAAATACATGTGGACGTACCTGTAAAAAAATATCTAAAGGATTAATGGATAGTTTTAAAATTACAGAAAGGAAGTATGAGAGAGGAGCAAAGAGTTAAACTGATAGTAAATGCATTATAGACGGTATAACTAGAGTGAAGTGGTAAAAGAACTTGATATGCTAGTGCGTTATTTAGATAAAGAAAAACTTTGGTTTAAAAACTATCAGCAACAGAGGGGCACCACAAGCAGCTATTGACTGCACAGACTTCAGCCACTGCACAGAGTACTGCCATTTTCACAAGTTCTCTGCTTACTCTGTGATGGTTAGTTGCATCGGTCAGGGTAAAGAGATGGAGTCATATAATGTGGTGCACACAGAATCATCTGCAGCTCAGTGCGACAGACACCAAGGAAATAAATGTGGATCTTAAAAGGACCAGGAAACCAGTGACACCTGTTTTAATTCAGGGGGTCAAAGTGGACACAGTGAAGGATAATAAATACCTCAGAGTACACATTGATAATAAACTGGACCGGGTTAAAAAAAAAAAATTGCTACTCCACACTACAGGAAGGGTCAGAGCTGTCGCTATTTCCTGAGGCAGCTGTAATCTTTTAACATCTGTCAGACAATGCTCGGGATTTTCAGCCAGTGCCATCCTCAATGGTGTTGCATGCTGTAGTTGAGGGTTGGGATGCCAACAGACTCAATAAACTCATCTGCAAGGCCAGTAACATTTTGGGGTGGAGCTGCACTCTCTAAAGGTGGTGTATGAGAGGTTTAAGGTTTATTTATTTATATAGCACATTTAAAACAACAGGGTTGATCAAAGTGCTTAACAATCAGCAAAAATCCTTGAGACATTAAAAGGCAATGCAAGAGAAAAAATTAACAAACAAACACCAACAAAAATCAAAAGTGACAGACATAAAACAGGCCTGATGATGATTAAACTAATTTGATTCAAAAGCCAAAGTAAAAAGTTGAGTTTTAAGACGTGATTTAAAGGAATGAATAGACTCAGAACTACAGGAGGTTGTTCCAGCGTGTCGGTGCTGCAATTACAAAAGCCCGATCACCTCTGGACTTCAGCCGCGATCTAGGTTGTTCTAAGAGCATCTGGCAAGATGAACTTAGTGCTGTCCTGGGGTTATACAAGCTGAGGAGTTCAGTCAGATAACTGGGTGCCAAATTGTTTAAAATTTTAAAAGTAAGCAAGAGAATTTTAGAGTATAAGGTATTTGACAGGGAGCCAGTGTAAATTAGCTAGAACTGGGGTGATGTGATCATACTTTCTAGTACCTGTTAGAACCTGTGCAGCAGCATTTTGAACTAACTGCAGACGGTAAAGGGAAGCGTGTTGGAGTAGAGAGAGTTACAGTTACGAGAGGTGGATGTTGTCCAAGATGAGAACAATGCTAGATGATTCCTCCCACCCACTCCATGACATGCTGGCCAGTACAGAGGCATGCTCAGTGAGATACTGAGATTACCCAAATGCAATGCAGTAGCTGCACACCCTTACTATCATCTACGTTCAAAAAAGAGTTCAAACTAAAAGACAACACATAAAACTAGGAAACCAAACTTCAACTAATCTTAAGGGAACACAAACTGTAAGTGAGGACAAAACAACACAGGATGAGGCAACAAAGTCCCAACACAGTCTCGTAGAATAAACGCACACCAGGAAAATTCCTCCCCAAACACCGGGAAACACAGCTGAATGGAATCAGACTAACAAGACAAGGGAAGCAAAACTAAACACAACAAACACAAGACGAGGGACTATCTAAACAAAACGAGTAGTAACAAACACTGAGAGCTGGACAAATATGGACACATGACTGACAGAGAAGACAGAAAAGTAAACAAACACAGAAATGAGACTGAACCAGAAACAGAAACACAAGGAAAGCAGGAAAAAACTGAGATTGATAAACCTGACTGAAAACAAAAAGATACTGCACGAGTATGAAAGTATGAAATCAGAAAACATTGGGGAATTTTCACATAAATAGTTTGTTTACTCTGATCTGAAACAGTTGATGAGTTTGAAATGAGAGAAAAACCCAAGTGAACTACAAGTGAACCAAAATGGATCACTACAAACCACGAGACAATGTTCAGTCCACCCATCGTCCAAATGTGTCTGCGGTGGGAGCAATAAAAACAAATACAGGATGAAGCTGCTGTGTGACTATTGGAGAACACAGAGAATCCACTGCTACTTGCTAGCCCATGCAGACCTTTGCACATCTTTAGCATTTTCCTAGATT